GGGGGGGCTTTTTTGAGGGGTTGCCCCCCCCCCCCCAACTATGTGTTAATACTGTAGAGGACTGGGGAAATGATATAGCACAGAGCCTCATGATCCCAGTCCAAATTGGGATATAATTACAGAATTGATCAGAGATCATTCCTTTTTCTCCATAACATTTGTACCCTGCCTTTTTCCCAGGGAGTTCAAGGCAGAATACCTATTTTCTCCTTGCAACCATCTTGTGAAGTAGGTTATGTCGGGAGAGAGTGGTTGGTGTGAGCTCACGTTGTTTACAGGCACATTGATTCAAAAGTAGAATCCAGAAGCGAAGAACACCATCCATGCAATCTGTCTTTATTAGGACGAACCCAGTGATACACAACCAGGGAGTTCAAGGCAGAATACCTATTTTCTCCTTGCAACCATCTTGTGAAGTAGGTTATGTCGGGAGAGAGTGGTTGGTGTGAGCTCACGTTGTTTACAGGCACATTGATTCAAAAGTAGAATCCAGAAGCGAAGAACACCATCCATGCAATCTGTCTTTATTAGGACGAACCCAGTGATACACAACAGTGTGTAAGCTTTTTGAGTTCAGCCAGGTCTTTGCAGACCAAGTTCTGTGTGTACAACAGTGGGTTTGTTGTTCAGTGACCTTTTTAGCTACCCATGGAGGCATGCTTCTTAATTATGAAGTCACTGTATTGACCAAAACAGAGGTTCATCGCAGTTTTATCTTAATTATCCTTTTTTTTTTTAATCTTGAAAGCCGTTGATTACTTGGTAGTGATAAGATAAAGCAAACTGAAAAGTTGGCTTTTGGTACATATCCAACATTAACTATTTAAAAAACTGCTTTAAGGTCATGGTTATGAATAACAGATAATGGAATATGAGAAACCTTTGTTATTTACTAACAGGATTGTCTTTGTGTGTGTGTGTGTTCATTCCAGAGTGTTGAAGGGGAACATCATGAGAAAGCTGTAGAACTGCTGAAAGCGGCTCAAGGAAAAGTCAAGCTGGTTGTACGATACACACCCAAAGTCTTAGAAGAGATGGAGTCACGGTTTGAAAAAATGAGATCAGCCAAACGCAGACAACAGAATTAATATGGCGCATATAACTTAATGAGAAGCATGATCTTTGCTTGTCTGATGTACCCATGGAAACGTTATTCGGTACTAAAAAATTTTTTTTTTGTTAAGGCTTCCATCTTTTCCAGATCTCTTTTTCTAGCACACTCTAATGTTTACACAGGCATTTTTACTTCTGTGGTCTGACAGATCTTTTTAAAATTCCAACCTGTAACCATCAAAACAAAATTTGTAAACTTTTGAAAGTACATTTTTATAAGCTATTTTCAACATTAGTGACATCTGTTTTTTCTAGCAACTTGTTTCCATTTGACATTGTTTAAAACATAAAAATCTTTATTTTGGATACAGATTTACAGCCTGTCTTAATCTTTTTGGCACTAAATGTGTGTCATTTACATACAGCAATTCATAACTGCAGTTAAGTATGGGATTTGTACTTTTGATGAACACGTTTCTATGCATGTTCTAGGTCATAATTTTGTAAGATCAATAGCATCTTGGACACTTTGATACTTCTTTTGTAAATAATTTGTAACATGCAGTCTCTTATAGCGGTGCTTTAATTGACCTGCTTAAATTCAGCTGCAAATCATTCCTATAATTTATATACTTTTGTACTAGTCACTGAGCACCTGGTGAAATTGGAAGACATACCTTTATTTATATTCAGTAAGGTAAACCATGCAGGCAGTGCAGAGGGAAAAAAACTATATGGCCTTCTCCTTCTGTCAGTTAACTATTTTTTGGATGTGTTTGCTTGTAGGACCTCTACCAAACGGGTTTGTCTGTGGGTTTGCTATTCCTTCCCTGAGCATAAAAGTTGCATGCTTGTTTGCTATTCCCACAGTGAAATGGAAAAGCTAAAACAGATCAAAGCTATTTTTAACCGTCTAAACGGAGAGAAACACTGTTCTTTCTTCAAGAAAACAATGAGCAGTGCTACTGTGTATTAATACCACTGCAGTACCTTGCATATGGTTTTGTTTTTGTTTTTTTTAGCTCTGGACAGTTTTTACCCCTTTCATCTAAGGAGTGTACAAATACTGTTCCAAAGCAATTGCAGAGGCTTCAACTGTGTGCTGAGAGAGATCAGGTCTATGCATGAGGTCTTTTGAGAGTTAGCTCCTGTAGCGTGCTACCTCCTTCTGGAGGCAAGGATCCAAAGTTCATCTATGGGGAGTTCCTTTTGCAGGCAAGCTGGAACAGTAAGTTCTCATGGATTGTGTTTGGCATGTCCCAACCTAGAAAGTGATGTTGTCCCCACAACCTGCCATTCATGGCATTATCTTGAGCGGCATAGTTGCTTCATGTCCCTGCTAGAGAGTGCTCTACCTCAAAACTGCGGCACTGGAAAAGCTCCTTTTCCTATGCTCTACCTTTCCTGCACTTCTGCAGTATACCTGCTAAGTTACAACTGCAGCTGGATCCACTTGCTGCTGCTGGGCCTATCATTATAGAAGGGTACCCCCTTTTGCTTTATAAGGACAAAGTTAGCAAAGAGGGGTTTTTTGCTTCTGCTAATAAATGTATGTGATACATGTTTCTGCTTTTATACCATGTTTTTCCGAAAGTAAGACATCCCCCGAAAATAAGACCTACTTACAGTTTTGCCTCTCGCTGAAACATAAGGCATCCCCCGAAAATAAGACCTCCCCGATAATAAGCCCCCCCCCCCGGGGCAACCCCCCCCCCCCCCGGAGCAGACAGGAAGTGCGAGGTCTCTTTTAATCAGAGAGCCCGTGCCGCTGCCAGGACAAGCTGCCGCCTGCTGCTCGCTCTTCCCTGACGGTGTGTACCATATTCTTCTTAATAAGACATCCCCTGAAAATAAGACCTAGTGCATCTTTGGGAGCAAAAATTAATATAAGACACTGTCTTATTTTCGGGGAAACACGGTAGTTATGAAAGTGTCCTCAATTCTTTAGCCTGGTGCTTGCTTTATAGGCTGAAGGCTGGAATAACTAGCCAAAGAATTATGGTGGGGCATGACAGGGTCTTATGTTAACACTGCCCTGTGTACTAGAAGTTCTCACTGCTGCTTATATCAGACTCCAAGTGTGAGCATCCCCATTTTATTACTTTGTACCATAAATTCCTTTCATCTAGAGGAAAGTGTTATAGAAATTTATAAATGTCTTATTTAGCTCACGGGGGCCAGGCTGCAATTTTCAAGCTTGATTTTTGGAGTTACTACATATCTCAGTGGGGACTTGTACTTAGAGATCTGTCAGTGGAAAATAAACCTTACAGTGCAATCCTATTTCTGAGTAGTCAGAAATAAGTACCTTTTTGAAAACGGGAAAGGGCGTGAGTTCCAAGGTTTGCCTTGGTCTCCACAACCTGTTTCAAAAATGTTACTTCCCTTCTACCAGTCTCTTATTTGGTAGCATTCCTTGCTTGAGCCCTGGCTGTTAATTTGACTTTTTTCCTGCCCTGTCAGAATCCAGTTTGTCTTGCAGTGGGGCAGGGCAGTAGCACCACACGTAGGGTTCGCTGCTCCCTAGGTACCCTTTTTTTATATAACTTTATTTTTTATAAAATATCAAAATATTACATCTCATTTCTTCAAATAACCATTTCAACAATAAACAATATAACTTTTAACATCTTAATAAAATGCAAAATTAACATACTTTGCAGGTAAGGCATTACCTGTATCATTTGTTTTATTAATATAATCAAAAAATCTGAACCATTTTTTGGTGAAATTTTCTCTAAATTTTGTACTCTCCTTTTCTCTTATTTGTGTTGCTATTTTATCCATAGCAACCATGTCCCATACCTTCAAGAACCACTGTCTAATAGTTGGTATTTTATGTTTTCCAGACCTGTGCCAATACTGTTTTTGCTGCAGTTAACAGTAAATCAGTAAGCTCCCTTTTTAAAATGTTTTATTCACACAGAAGTAAGAATACCCCAGTTTTGCCCCTTTCTCTCCCACTCCACTCCCTGCCTCATATTTAGAGTACTGGTTGTAGAGCCAAAAGAAGCCTTCTTTGATTGAACTGGTTTGGTATATTTAGCATTACCTTGATGATCCACTAGATGTCAGTGTGCAGCTACAGCTACCCTGTCCTTTCTCTTCTCTTGCTAGAACTACCTGCAGTCAGAGATGTTTCCAGTACGAAAGGTCATAAGAGTAGGGTTTTTAATGACAGCCTAAAGATTATGCACATCTAGATGTCTTGTAAAAAAAATCGTTTTGACATCATGAGCCTGTAATCGTGGAATTTTAGTGACTGAAATCCTACAAGTGTGTGAATCTATTGTCATTTAGAGAAGATTGGAGCACTGAATTGCATGGTTTAAGTGTACAGCCTGCTGCAGAAAGCAACTGGTAGAATCATATTTTAAATGGTGTATTTTTATGAAGCAGATTGTATGTAAAGTATTGAGACCAAAATAGGTAGTTGGGCCAATCATGAAATATTTTAATTTAATTGTATAATACTAGATTTTTGTTGAAGCTTTCTATATTAAAGATGGTAATAGGAATGAAGTTGTTACTGGCATAGCAATATGTTTTGTGAATCTAAAAAGAGTTAGTGTGGAGTAGCCAGAGCTGCTTTAGGAAAATGCTTCTGAGGTATCTTAACGTTGGCTTTTGGAATTGGTAGGCCTGTTATT